ATAGAAGCATGAGTACATTTTTATTTTATTAATTGCTACCCTGTATCTTTCATTGTTTATTACTTCCTTTCTTGGTCGGCTTATCTCCTTGATTAACTGACTGACTGATTAATTGACTGTGGAGATGGAGGGGGAACATAGAGTCATATAAGTAGAATAAAAAATAACATCTAGTCACCAAACTACATCAACAAGGAACACTAATTTGACCACACAAGCAATCGGCTATCATTGGTCATTGGACCTCACCACGAATATTACTCTCCCATTTATTTCACCTGCCCATAATTCCTGATACGTACCCTTTTCAATTGCCAGGAAAGAGGTAGAAATATCTTGTCATGGACTGTCGCTCAATAGTGGGCATCTGGGCTTTAACATCTGGTTTATCAAATGATCGTTGTACCTGAAAACAAAAAGAGGCTCTAGACGAGACATCTCTTATGCACTCTCAGAAAACATTTTGTATCATGAGCCAGAAAATTCTAAGAATGAAGGGTGCACCCAAAGTTGATGGGACCAAGCCCATGGCTATTCTAAGGCCCTGCCACTGTTATCCTACCTCTTAGAAGTAACACCCCATGTCAGAATATACTCTTTATCTTAAAATAAACGCCTCATGCCTAATCCAAGTCCTTTTAAACTGCCTTTCCTCTATTTTCCATTTCTGATCTACAGATCTGATGATCAGTTATCCCTTGGGGTCTGTTCACGTGAGCTAGATCTGGAAGATCCTCTACATTCAAACTCCACCGAGGCTAACTGCTCGAGTCAATAAGGCCCAAAACCCAGGATTCTGTCTTTAAGGCTTGAACACCGAACAACTTTCACATCCCAGCCACCAAGCTGACCTCTGAAGTTTTTTGCCACAGACTGATCAATGAGATTCTATTTCTAGTCTTCTTGGCAATGCCCTTGAAAGTACAATGTTTAATTCTTATTAATTCGACAGGACTTAACTTTATAAGTTCCCATTCAGAGAGATCCTGACTCACCTTACATTACAATCTTCTCCAACTTACTAAAGGTATATTCCTCTTTCCCACAGGAATGCTACTGTTATCTATAGTTTTGAATTTAAAAGTAATCATATTTTCCTGTGTTCTTAATAATAATCCCT